GATGCCTGTAACACTCTGCCTATTGCCTTCATATTAAATCATTTAAAAAAATATTTCTTCACATTATTATGAGACGCGAGATTGAGACACTTTTAATGCGTGTTTTGTTTGGGTTTCCACCAACGTGGAATGACCAAAATTAGAGAGGGCATAACTTAACATATGATCCCTTTATTTCATCAAAGTAACTGTATTCTGAATACCAACTTTTTGAATGGTAACTGTAACTGTTAAGGTTCAATGCAGGGGACTCAAACGCGGGACTCCTGAATCAGCTGAACACAAGGATTTATTTACAGAGTTCACCAAAGTGTATATACAGAGAGTGCGGGGTAGTGCTATATACAGAAATGTGAGGGAGGGGCTCCAGGGGGGAATCACTCGCTCTCCAACTCCCCACATACACGACGGCAGTCCTCTTCTTTCACACTTGACACACAGATTCACAGGGAAGGGTAATCCAGGGGGTCTGTAGATAAGGAGACAGGAATGAGACCGATATTCACAAAAGGCACTTGACTTATCTCGAGCTGAAGTTCGACTTTCACTGACGCGTGGCAGACAACGATCCAGCGAAGACCAGCAGTCACCTCCTGGCTTAAATGCCGTTCACCTTGAAAAAAACGTGATCCGATACGAACCCTCAGACTTTTGAGCCGTTGCACCACTAATGACGACATTGCTCCTTCGTTGCACTGCTTGACGGAGATTGTGGTGCTTGGCAACCATATCCCCTGGGGCCTCTTTTAAATTTAACAAACAAGTGTCCTCAGTAATCAAATCTAGCTTTTACCAACTGCGCCTTATTGCTAAGACTAAGCACTATGTCCCTCATAAAGATCTTAAAAATCTCATTCATGCATTTGTGACTTCTAGATTGGATTACTGTAATTCTCTCTACTTTGGTCTTCACTCCACTCTCCTTCACAGACTCCAGCTTGTCCAAAATGCTGCGGCTCACCTCCTGACTCGCACCAAAAAACATGCCTTTATCACCCCAGTTCTTATTGATTTGCATTTGTTACCTGTTAAGTCAAATTGTTGAATGTTGTCATTGTGTTTCTTAAATTTGTAAAGTCTTAGTTCAAGCAGCAGGACCACCTCTCCAGCCAATTTGGTGCTGGGGGAGGCTGACGTGGTTTTATTGTAGATACATCCTATCTGAAAGATCTGTTTCTTGTGTTGTAAGCTTCCTGCTTTAATGACCCTTTTGAGCAGGAGGTCACGCAAACGCACCCCGTGACACACACACAAGTTCTTGCACACACATACACACACATAGTGCCTTGTCTTAGAACCATTGGGGGGTTTTACGGTGGGAGGTGCTTGTGTTGTGTTGTATTGTGTAAACTGTAACTATCATCATAGCTGGACTGGCCAGCAGCCCACCAGGCATTTGCCCGGTGGGCCGCTGGCAATTTTTTGTTTTTATGGGCCGATCGATTTTTTTAATTTTTTTTTGGAAGGGTATAAACAATGAAAGGTGTTGGATTGGCCAATTGGTCATGATCGACTCTGGGCTGGACCAATTACAGCGAGGAGGTCGGATGCACCCTCCCCCTTGTTTAGCAATCTTATAGGCCATCCATCGGCTCTTTGTTACTTCGGAAACATGGCTTAAACAATTTCCACGACGTAATCCGATAACAACCGATCTCTTTACCCGTCGGCTTCCCGTGGCTGTCATGCAACAGGTGTTGTGCCAAAAAGTGATTTCCAATGTTTGTGTGTATTTTTTATGTGTAATATCTATGTTGGTAAATAGACTTCGGTGAACAGCGTTTACAAAGGGGCTATATATGGAATTAAAAAATTATCTGTTTTTTCAAGTATCTTTACAACTCTGTGTTATTGTACTTACATTATAACCAATCCGGTCCTTTATCCCCACTTTAAATATTTTTACAGAACTATTGTAATATTTGAGCCATTTCTGCTGTCCAATACTTCTTACAAAATACATTTTTAATGTTAATTAGACTTTTTTTTAACAGCATAAATAAAGGTTATATAAAAGTCACTGCCAAAGACTGATTGCGGCGTCTACCTTGTTACACTAATGTTGTTTGTAGCTCAATATGACTTTATGTCATCCATGAGGGATGCATTTGACATATGTTTCACATATTATAGCCCAACAAGTTACTTATAGCAATTTAAATACGAGCAATCAGTTTTTGGCAAATACGAGCAATCAGTTTTTGGCAGACAATCACTTTTTGGCACAACACCGGCTATTGCAGTTAATAATACAACAGTTTCTTGCCATTTTTTGTGTTTCTTTTTATTGCTGTGTAACGGAGTTCAATTGAAAGACTGCATGCGCTAGTACCACTTGCCACAAGTTCCCAGAATCCTTTGCGGTTTTATCCCTGAATGACGTCACATTTTTGGTGGGCCGGTCTCTAGTCAAAATGCCCGGGCCGATTTTTTGTCCCAGTCCAGCCCTGACTATCATGGGAATAAATAGCTGTGAGGACAGCTACTCTTTGAAGGATTTGGGCTAGAGACAGGTGATGAGCATTGCTCCACCGCCTGGTTCTGACCAAAGCTTCCCTCATTAGCGAGTTAAAGACCGGTTGAAGATGTTCTGTTATGTCTTCCGTTCTTCATGAGGAATAAGTCTCTAAACTAGCGGGGCCTGTGGAAACACAGACCCAACATTACCCATAAAATATTGTATTGAATTTAAAATATTGTTGCTCATCTTTAAAAGATAAAACGGAGTCTGACGCACAGATAGCGATGGGAAGGTTGTTCCACAGATTCGGTGCTACCAGGGCAAAAGCACGGTCACCCCTAGATTTAGGCTGAAGACCTGAGGGCTCGCCCAGGGACATATAGACTAAGGAGATCGACAAGATAACGATGGGCTAAATCGTTTATAATTTTAAATCCCATTTAAAAACTCACTTATTTAACATAGCTTTTCCATCTAGTTAATGTCCCTATTTTATATTTGGCTCAATTTTTTATCTATGTACTTTATCTTTTAGCTATATCTGATCTTAGTAACTTTGTTCTTCTATTCCCTTTTATTGCTGTATAATTGTGCCCTCAACCTGATGACATATGTGGTCGTTTGTTAATAGTCTTTTATTTAATCATGTCTTAATTTTCCTGTTTTTACTGTAAAGCACTTTGGTTTTTAAATGTGCTATACAAATAAAGTTGTATTGTATTGTAAAGGTTTTGTAAAATAACTACTGAGTCCGGTGTTGTCTCTGGAGGCCTGAGGAATAAAAAGAACTGGGGTGAAACTGCTTTACCTAACACAGTTCATTTGTTTCCCAACATTTCTTCTTTTTCTCCCTAAATTCTTTTTCTTTCTCTCAGGATAAGAAAATAAAGTGTGTGGTGGTGGGTGACGGTGCAGTGGGAAAGACCTGCATGCTCATCGCATTCGTAACCAAAGCGTATCCCTCTGAGTTCATCCCCACAGTGAGTAGTGTGCTAATAAATCCCAGTTTTATCAGTTTATTCCATGTCAACAACCGTTCTCATGTTTCTCAAGATCTTATTTTATTTTTTAAATAATTGTTCTTTTTTTCAATCCTGTCCTGTGTGACAGCTTTTGCAATCAGAATTATGATCTGAATGTTCTGTTGTGCAAACAAATCTTGCTTTTCCAAGATTGGCTCTATAAATTCTTCTTTTGTTCAGGTGTTTATTTGATCTGTTTACTTATTCATTACAATTCCTGTTATTTCATTTATTACATTATATGTGTTACAGTTTGACAATGTGTAAGGCGGGACAGGCAGGAAAAAGGGAAGAGGGGTGACAATAGGTGAAAATATAATAAAAGAACAAAAGAAATGCACACTGTAGCACCAACTGCTGCACCTGTAAGAAAAGAAAAACACACATCCACAATAACGGCCCCCAGGAGCCAGAGGCAGACAGAGATATCCACACAGCCCAGACCTGAGGCACTGATCTTATTAACCAACCTACGTCCTCCTTGCCCTCTGTCTCCCCCAGGTGCTTGATAACTACTCTGCTACAGTGACGAATGGTGAGAAGTACAATCTGGGACTCTGGGACACTTCAGGTAAAAAACAAAATCTACATTCAGTTTAATAAGTACTAAAAATTTCAGTTAAGTAATATTTATATTAGTAACAGCGGGCAGGAGATCAAACCTTTAGGGGCAATTATAATGTCATTCACAAAATGTATTTCAATGAACACATTTGTATAAGATAAAGGTCTTTAAATTTCTCTTCACTCGCATTTTGCAGAATGTATATTTGTTAATAATTTTGAGTTGAATTACTGTGAATAATAGTGCAGGATGGGTAATTAAATGTTGCTTTAAAATCTTGTTTTAGTGTAATATTTAGTGTTAAACTGTATTTTTCCACTTATTTAATTTTATGTACTGTTTTTTAATACACAGTAATCATGCAGTGTGGGTTGTTGGACTTCTGCACTGTAGAGAGGCATTAACTAGCTGTGGAGTGAAACACTTTTCACACCGTGTCTGGTGCATTACAGGGACATTCAGGTTAATTCCTGTGAATTCAAGATTGTGTGTGAAAATAAATGTTTGTATGTTTTTGTTTTCAACTACAAGCAACTGCAAAAACGGCACATGTACAGCCTGAATACCAGCTAGTGTTTTCCATGCTAACAACATTCATTAGTGCACTTAATTACATTTTTTTGTAGTTTACCGCGGTAAGTATTTTTCTGACAGGTTCAAGACATTTGAGCGAAGTGTTTATTTCACGTCATTACGCGCCTTCAAACATCAAGAGAGTAACGTATTCTGAATACTTTGGATTACTTAATATATTATCATGCTGTTTACAACTACATGAATGTACTATTGCTGTGATTTATTACTGT